CCTACATTCCAGCTTTTGTTTTTAAGTGTTGTCCAATTGTTTGTCTACTAGCACAAAATAAATCCATACCTAGGCTCATAAAACAGAAACCAGATGGTAAACGAGGGCATGCATGTACAATGACGCACATGTTGTTCAGGTCATTTTATTTACACTTGATAAGTCACTTTTTGTTAATAACCCTGCTCTTATGTTTTTAAGGATAACCTTTTTTTTTTTCTTCCTAAGGTTACCAGTTCATGGTAATGCTAATGGTCTTAATTGGCACAGATCACATAAAATGTTTAATGAAGTTCATAGCAAACATTAAACTAGAAGGCATTTTTGAAAGAACCTTAAGATCAATCCCGACAGCTTTTTAAAATAAATCTTCCCACAGTAGCTGAACATTCACAGAAAGCTGAACACATACAGAAGCTTCTAAATTCTACCATACATCTACCATGCATTTAATAATCAATATCCATTTACGTGAAAGATGTGCCAAATACTCTGTTACAAGTTTTCAGAAATCATTTTACAGGTTATATTTAAAGAGAAGAAATCAGTATTTTATTGTCTATCTGTGACTAAGCCCCACTATTGCCTGACCATAACAAGTGTTTGAAATGTGACAAACAATAACAAAGTATATCCAGCAACTTTTCTAGAAAAAAAGCCAAGAGTAAAGCTAGAACAGTCCCCGAAACAAAACAATGCAGGAATTTGGGAAATTTCTTTTCAGAAGTTGTGCACGGAACATAACTTTCTAACATTGGTCATGCAAAGCACTAATGAACTACATACCTGCTCTAATTCACCCACAAATATCAAGTTTTTCAAACCTACCATATCACAGACCTCATACTGCAAACTCAGTCCCGGTAGGACTGGCATCCTTCACCTTCTTCACTGACCCACCCTGACCCCCTCCCAAATGCCACTGTTGGAATGAGCACAGAGTGCTCTGAGCTAGGTCCTCATGAGCTTGCAGCCCTGCAGACGTTGCTGTGGTCCAGCCGCCCAAGGGACACCAGGCATTAACAGCTTTGCTGGCCCTGCTGGTGCCACCTCAGCCAGCCAGCTCACACCCACGGTGCGGGTAGGTATGCTGCTTCCTCAGCAAAAGGCAGGGCCAATGTATCCTGGCACAACTCCCACTTCCCAGAAAGAGGAGAAAATGCTGCTCATTCAGGCTGGCTCTGCACTACTGAACTGACCATGCCCAGACCAGCTCCCAGGTGCTGAGGCCAACTAGCAGAGGTTGGTCTGTATCTGCATCAGTGAAGTCTCTCACCCTTCCAAACAGAGTTGGCACACGCATGCTGCTCACTGCTGGACTATGCTAACTCCCACCTGCACCTCAGATCCACTTAGGAGACCACTGACTGGTCAGGGACCCTCTAGCAGCACAGTGCATTGCATCCCAGCGCCTGGAAAAATGTCCTGCATTGGATACTTCTCTATAGACCCAGCTTCAAAGTCCTGCGGGGCTCAGGCTGCTCTAAGCATACAGCAGTATTTTGCTTGGAAGATCTTCAAAATATACCATTTAGCCAAAGATACTGTTATTTTTAGACGAGGTCCTACAGCCAGGTTCTTTCTGGTCCCATCCAGCAATGGTTTTAGATGTGACACACTTTTCCCTGAAGCTGAGAGAAGGACCCTGCAGGAAATAAGCACAGCTCACCAAGCAGGGATTTTCTGCCAGTCAGTGCACACACGATGCTGCAGCCCAGGTTAGCCAACAGGAAACATGAGCAGAGAGGTGCAAGCGTTCAGTCCTGCCCCACCAGTGCCTTCCTCCTAGCCAGAAGAGATCACTTTCCTCTGTTTCAATTTGGTGGTGCAAAACCCCCTCTTGAAGGAAGACACGTCTGTTTCTCCAGGAATCGCGCAGAACTCCTATTTGCAATGAAATGGGGGCTAGCTACTCCTTTCACACAAAAGTAAGCAGTCAGAGCATTCACCTAAGAAAAAGGGGAAGGCATGTACACAGCGGTCCTTGGCTTTGAACCCATGCTTGGCATTGTAGCAGAAGACATCCTAACAGTTAGCTCTGGGGCGAGACTAGGCAGCCTCAACCCTTCCTGCTAGAGCTGGGCCATCACGCAAACCCCAAAGTTGTCTGAAGTGGACCAGAGAGAGAATACAGGGAGATGCGCAACTCTCTAACCCGCTGGTCAGGCCACACATGAGCCAGTGTCACCCTAGGTTCCGTCTTTCTTCCCAAGACTGTTTACATATTTAAAGTGGGGGAAAAAAAGTAAGTAAGTAGAGCGTTTACTTGCTTTGAGAGTTAGCCAGCAGATGAGCAGCGTTTTTCAAGATCGCAACTTTGTACTTTGGCACCTAACTTTTGCTAGAATGCCACTTTGGACATGTTTGTCCCTTTTGACCATCCCAAAATCCTTCTCTAAGTGCTTAAACTACTGGCTTGATTTTTCACAGAGCCAGCTATCTAGTTTTTCCAACTTCATTTGACTTAGGGTTTTTTTCAAGAGGAGAAAAACAAAATAAATTTTACATTGGCTATTTAAAAATATTTTTTTTAGTCAGCTCTTCAAAAAATAGAATTGAGAAAAGCTATAGCATTTTCTACCTATCCTGTGAAAATTGCCGAGCATGAAATGTAGGAGGGGAAGAGATTTGATCTGGCTTTTCAGTTTTGTTAGTACTACCATCCTCCAAAATAGATAGCATAGGTGAGTACCATCTCTGTTTTCTGTTGGCAACAGTATAAAGGCAGCCATATAGTAATTAACAAGTAATGATCTGTGTAAAATTGCAGGATTTTTTTTAAATTATATGACAACTACTTAACTAGTAGATACCTAGATCCTGATGTTACTGTACCATCCCCCCAAACAGCCTATCTGACCACTAAAGGGTTTTATTCTCATAATGCTTCTAAAAGAAGAATAAAACATTTCCACTGGAGGAAGAATTGGCTGACTGGGGCTAAGCCACATATCCACAGCCGAGCCAAAACCTTACATCACATCTCTTGACTGCAGACTCCAACAACCACAACCATTACATCACTATTTGTATGATTAAGCACTGCTGTTCTACTAGAACAATAAATATCTTGTCTATATCAGACCACAATGGTATCCAACCACACCACCACCTCTAGAGATGGATGAGTAAAATACAACTATAAATTTCATCTATGTAAATTAAATAAATTATATTCTGATAGTCAATGGTTCAATGCAAGAGAAACACAAGAAGAAAAAAGAGAAAATCATAGCAGAGCTTTTCTACACGTAAAGAATTACAAACTTTTAAAATAAGTGGTTACTATTAAAAAATTGATTGCCAAGGTGCAGTTGGACTTCCAAATAAAGATAACCTAGAGAATCTCTGCCCCCAGGTGCTTCCTAATGTAACTCTGAAACATCTCATTGCCATCCAGCTATTTCAGGAGGATTCAGGAAAGCTGTATAAGAAAAACAGAGTTCACTCAATGAGATCACACAGTTAGTGAATGATTGCATACTATAATGAAACTAAAACAAAATAATAAATTTTTGCCTTATAATGGAATTATAAATCTTACTGGGTTTACTGTGGCTAACAGAGGCTATTAAGGACACAGGAGGCACACAATCCTCCACAGCCACCCATTCTCATTTCTTAATCAGGCCACTTGAAATGACAGTCTCCACTGCAAATCTTGCTGGTAACCCACCACATGCTGGGAAGGGATTTCAGGGTGACAGTCAGGGATGGGTGAAGGCTAAGGCACTAGGAATGAAATCAATATAGACCTTCACACTCCCTCAAAGCCTACAGCTTTTTGTAAAAGACCCCCTTCATTTACATAATAGATACAGCCATAATATTCCTATGAACCAAGTCACAGCATTAGGCACGTCATGCTCTATTTCATGAAATATTACCATTACAGGATGCGCACTTCCTGCTTAGGGGAAAAGCAGAAATATTTGCAGTGATGTGCCCAAAGGTTAGAAGTTCAGGATGGATCGAACTACAAAACAGAATCCTTTCCAAGCCTTGCCACTGCCCCGACTGCCACAAGCACGCAGACAGTTCCTTTGAGCAGATGGCTTTCCTTAGTACTCTTGTGCAGTGTAATTGCATTTTGTGTTCAACATTTTGGAAGTCTTGGGATGGTGCTATTGTGGACCGTCTGGACAGATATATTTAAAACAAGCGTTTAGGCTGTGAGCTTTTGGAGACAGATGTGGTCAGGTGTTATACATTAGTTTTTAAAAGAAACAGGATACCCTACCAGCAAACTTGTGATCTTCTACAAAAGCACCAAATGGTGTGAACAGAGTGGGCAGTGTGCAGTCAACTTTTAAATGTTGGCTACTGTTGTTAGTAGCACCAAAAGACATCACTTTTACTGCTGGAGGCTACTAAGGGGAGGTCCACACCTACAAGGTATGGCAGTTTAACTAATATTAAAATGTCAAGCCAGCACAAATCCCTGTGTGAGCACTTTCATGTGGATTTCAAGCAAGTTATATTGGTTACAGGTGCAAGCTAAACCAATAAGTCAGGTTTAAATAGGCTTAAATTTGACAGAATAATATTTATTTAGCTAAATGAAATTTAAACAGCTTTTTAGCCAAGCCAAAGTAAATGTACATGTAGCATTTTCCCCATTAATTAAAAGTGGGCTATTTTCCTTCTACTTAGGGACAATAAATAGAGCCACACACAAACAGTTCAACTTTGACACAGAGGCACCTCTATGGGTCTCAGT